ACGGCCAGTTTTTCTGAGTTGGAACAAAACTTATTTCTTCAGCTGATCACTAACTAGTTGGCTTGTGTTCTGGGGCCATGTGATATAAAAAAATCTTAAAGACTAGAATCACATTCAATCTGGCAACAAAAATATATCCCTAGACTATACCATACTTAGTCATAGCAAGAAGTGCAAAGAGTCAAACCTGGGCAAGCCTGATGGAGGCAAAGAGATCATGTGGAACAAAGACAAACCATCCCAGCAAATGCCCCTTTGATCAACCAACCCTGGCCAACCAGGGAGCTAGCCATCAATGCAGAGTGATTGCAGCTAAGGCCAGTTGAAGGACCTCCTAGCTGATTCCAGACCAAAATACAGATCCACAAAATTATGAGCTAAATATATGGCTGTTGTTTTAAGCCACTATGTTTATGATGACTTTTTAAGCAATAAAAGATAACTGATAAAGAAGGTTTCTTAAGGGGAAAAAAAAAAAAAAAAAACTGAGCCCAAGCAAGTAAACAGTTAATGCACACATCCTCCTAATTCTGAATCATGTACTCTCTGGGAAAAAAGACAAGGGGAACAATTTATATTTTTTATAGTTGCTATTTTTCTCTTTGTTGTTTTTGCTTTACCGAACAACTATATTGTGCTGCATAATTATTATGGTCAACGTAATGATTAGACTCCATTGTTACAAAAAAATGGCAAAAACACTTCAATTTCACACACGACAAAAATGCAAACTTCTGAAATATAACTAGCTGTCATAACGTGCTCTACTGATTTCTTCAGAGAATATGTATTGCCAAACATAAAGATTTAAATACCATAATACAGCTTCTCAGTGAGCTAGGGTTATAACTCACGTTGTTTGTCTCCAAGTCCAAAGTAAGAAGGGAATGCAAAGTGGTGATTAGCAGGAAAATATGAATTTCCTTAACATGTAGGAATATTTTAGCCAAGGAAACAGAAACTATATTGTGTGAAGTTAAGTGCCCTGTCCCCACATAGATATATAAGTATATGCGTATGTGATATGTATGTAAATGTGTCTGTGTATATACAAATATATACACATATATTACATATAAATATTTATTTTTCATAATAGATAATCCCAATCCATGAAATAAGAATAATAACAGTATCTCCTCATAAGGTTATTGAGGTTTAAATGAAGCCCTTATTCTGTGCCGAGCACCATTCTACGTGCTTTCCACGCACTAATTTTATACAGATGAGGAAGCTGAAACATAAAAAGATTATGTAACTTGCCCACAAACTTTAAGTGGCAAACTGGGCTTCAAGTCCATGCTATCTGGCTTCTAAATCCAAGCTTTTGGCATACTGTCAATGACATATTTGATTACTGATAATGAAAATAAAAATAAGAGGTCTATTAAAAAAAAAAAACAACTCACTGCTATTAAGTTGTTTCCGACTCATAGTGACCCTACAGGACAGAGCAGAACTGCTCCATAGGGTAGATTCGAACTGCTGATCTTTTGGTTAGCAGCCAAATACTTAACCACCACGCCACCAGGGCTCCAAAAGGTTAAGTGAGTAAAAATAAAAGATATACATAAAATAAAGGACTCAAATAAAGCTATACTGAATAAAGAGATGAGTGACGGGTCTTTAAAATCTGAGTGGCTACTTTTCTATCCCATGATATGAGTCTTGCACATAATAGGCACAAATAGTTGTTGGATGTAGTAACACAGCATGCAATAATAGATTAGCAGGAATATAAAATAGCAACAGTAGATCGCACAATAGTAAAATAAATCAGTGTTGTAGGCTGAACTGTGTTCCCTAAAGAGATATGTTCAAAACAATAACACACAGGAGAAAGGTGCTTCTTAGCTTAATCGAGTATACGAGATCGAATGAGCAACATCTGTCCAAAAGCAAAGACAAGAAGGCAGGAAGGGATGGGAAACCTGGATGAATGGACACAGGGAACAGGGACTACAACCAATGTCACAAAACAATTTGTGTATAAATTTTTGAATGAGAAACTAATTTGCACTGTAAACTTTCACCTAAAACACAATAAAATTTAAAAAAAAAAATGTCCAAATCTTAAACCCTGATACCTATGAATATGACCTTATTTGGAAATAGGGGTTTTGCAGGTGTAATTAAGCTAAAATGAGGTCTTATTGGATTAGGCCCTAATCCAGTGACTAGTGTCCTTCTAAGAAGAAGAAAATTTTACACAGCCACACAGGAAGAACGCCCCATGAAGACAGAGGAGAGACTGGAGTAACGCAGCTGCAAGCCAAGGAACACCAACAACTGACGGCAACCACCTGAAGCTACAAAAGAGACACGGAACAGATTCCTCCTCAGAGCCTGCAGAAGGAACCAACCTTGCCAACACCTTAATTTCGAATTTCTAGCCTCCAGAGAATAAATTTACGAGAGAATAAATTTCTGTTGTTTTAAGCTGCCCAGATTATGCTAATTTATTATGGCAACCCTAGGAAACTAATATAATCTGTATTTTGACAGAATAATGTGAAAATAGAAAGTCTCACTTAAAAGCTACCTGATGGGAACATGAAATGGTACAGCCAATCTAGAAAATAGTTAAGCAGTTTCTTGTAAAACTGAATGTGTACTAACCATGTGACACAGAACCACACTCTTGGACATCCATCCCAGAAAAATTAAAACTTACATTCACATGAAAACCTGTACACGAATGTTCACAGCAGCTTTATTCAAAATATGCCAAAACTGGAAACAATCCAAATGTCCTTCAATGGGAGAATGGTTAAACAAAATCTGGTATGTCCATACAATTGAATACTGTTCAGTAATAAGAGGGAATGAACTACTGATACATGCCACAACTTGGATGGATCTCAAGGGCATTATGCTTAGTAAAAGTCAATCCCAAAAGGTCACATCCTATATGATTCTATTTATGTAACATTCTTGGAATGACAAAACCATAGAGATGGAGAATAGATTAGCAGCTGCCAGGAGACAGATGACAGTGAGGAGAGGGGCTGACTATAAAAGGGCAGGCAGGAGGGAGTTCCTTTGTGGGGATGGAACAGTTCTGAAACCACCACCACGGATCTATACATGGAACCAAACTGCACAGAACTATACAGCTACACATACACACACAGACACACACACACACACGCATACACATATAAAAACTGGTAAAAACTAAATAGTCTGTAATCTAGTTAACAGTACTATACCAATGTCAATTTATTGGTATTGATAGTGTACTACAGTTATATAAAATGTCACCATTGGGGTAAGCTGGGGGAAGAGTTCGAGGAACTCTATGTACTACTTTTGTAATTTCCTGTAAATCTATTAATTCTGAAAACTAAGAGTTTTAGGGAAAAAGCTCCTGAAGAACAGAAGAGGGATACAATATATTAAATCAGTACCCGAAAAATGTTTTGTTTCTTACCTTTAGACTCTTTAGATAATTTGAGAGCATACTGGGATGGAACCGATTTTCTTCTGCAACTTGACTATCATATCTTGGTCCTAACATTGTCTTCAGAGGTAAGAATTTTCCTAAACAACATTAAGATGAGTAACAATTTTCATTAAAGAAAATGTTCTAGGTTAAAATCTTATAATTAACAATTCTCAAAATCAACTTCTTAAAATATTTTAAATGGAAAAATAATCTGTAAATGCAACTGTTCATAAAGTACTGTCAATCTAAATTATACTTTTAAAAAGTACTGCCTGGGAATTTTTAAGAACAACATAAATTCTAGAAATTCACAATCAAAGATAATAGCAAAATAAAAAAGGTGAATGGAACTTCTCTAAAGAATGGAAATTCTAAACCACTGCACTAAAAAGTTATTGCCTTAAAACTTTTAAAGATATTGTACTAGAAAACTGATAATGAAGTGAATTAAATCAATACTTTAAAATCCCTAATTACATGTTTTTCAATATGAAGTTGAAACTTTCTCCATCTTATGAACTTTATCCTCCATCTCAGGGTTCTAGGTTATGCTGTAATGCTGAGAGGATAGTAACCAAAATCACTGCTCTAACTACTATCAGCAATTACAATATCAGCAAGAATGACATTTTTTGACCTTTTCTTTTTCTGAATCACAATATGAACATATGGGAAGTCACCTTTTATAATCAATTTTAAAATCACCTATTTTAAATGATTTATACTTTAACACACAACAAAATCAATAATAATGTCTACCTAAAATATCTACCTCAGTCAGTGGACCTCTTTTCTATCTATATTCACTCCCTTAATGTCTCATCTAGTCTCATGGCTTTAAAAACCATCAATATGCTGATGACTCACAAATTTTTATCTCCAGTCCAGACCTCTTCCTTAACTCTAGACTTGCATATCAAACTGCCTACCTGACTAATCTCTATTTAATATCTAATAAGACATCTCGGACTTGACATCCAAATCTGAGCTCTCAGTATTCAAACTCTAAAATGTGCTCCTCTCAGTCTCTTTCCCTCCTCAGTTAATGACAACACCATTCTTCTAGTAACTCAGGCCAAAAACTCTGGAGTTATCCTTGACTCCTCTGTTTCTCTCCCACCCACATCTAATCTATCAGCAAATTCTGTCGGATCTACCTTCAAAATACTACGTCTCACCAGCTACACCATCGTCTTGCCTAGATTATTACACTTCATTCAAGAGCTATTTAATGGGCACCAATTAAGTACCAAAGGAGTCCTGGGTGGTACAAATGGTTAAGTGCTCCAGTACTAGCCAAAACGTTGGTGGTTCAAATCTACCAAGAGAGCCTTGGAAGACAGGCCTGGCGATTTGCTTCTGAAAGGTCACAGCCTTGAAACCCCATGGAGCAGTTGTACTCTGCACGCATGGGGTCGCCATTAGTCTGAATCTACTCAACGGCAACTAACAACAACTATGTACCAGGCAGTACTGTAGAAGCATGGAATACATCAATGAGAAACACATACATACATACATACACACCAAGATAAAAATTCCTGCCTTCATAAATCTTACATTTTATTGGGGGAAAACATACCAAAAACAATAAACATAATAAATAATTAATAATACAGTATGTTA